GATCCTCCCACCCCACTGACCCACCTCAGCTGACGCTGCCTGGTGCAGCTGCGGGCTGTCTGGCCAAGCTCTGTCCTGGTTGCAAAACTGAACAAATCAATGATGGTCTTTGCATTCATGCATCTGCTTTGTTCTCACAACGATCCTTCAAAGAAGATATTATTAGTATTATCTGCACTTTGTAGATGATGGGGCTGAGATGAAAGAGGTTATGTGAATTATCCAACATGGCCCAGTGAGCAAGAGAAGTCACCAGAATACAGGAGTTGGTGCATGGAACACTTCAAAAGGAGGCAGGGATAACAAGTTGTGTGATTTAAAAAAAAACAAAAACCCACAAGATGGATGGGTTGAGGTTGAATTAAAGAGAGACCCATGTGTCAGGATAAGTTAGCATGTCATTTAATAATGGCCCGTTGAAAGGGGCCACTGAAGGCTTCTGCATAGAAGTGACAGGATAAAAATGACTTTGACAAGTGGCTGGACACAGGTTAGTTTGAAGGGACGACAGGCTGTACGTGGATGGCCCAGCAAAGAGAGCTGTTCAGGAGGGAAGCAAGGAGCTCACGGTGTGGCACACCAGTGACGGGAACGGGAGGCCCTGCACTAAGACTTACAACAAATTGGAACAGTGTTAGGGTTTGATGGCCAGTGGCTCCAGAATTTGAATCTGAATGTCCCAAAGGAGAATGGTTTAGGTGCTATGACTCTAGCAAGTGGTAATGCAGGAAGGAGAGCCCTGCTGGGGAGGGAAGCACATCCTCAAACACTGATTTGTGGAATTGGAACGGATTTGAGGAAGGTGATTTCGGTTTCAGACAAGCTGGCACTGATGAGCGGACAGAGAGTGAAGATGTGGAAGTCATGGCCTAGGCCCTCGGTGGTTTACAGAGTTCTCTCTCCATCTTCCATATACACCGCCTTGTCCGTGGACCCTCGACATGCATTCTTAGTACACGCGCATGCCAGACAGCAAGTAGAAGTAGTGGATAGTAAGTACTAATAAAAAAAATACTGATAAAAAGAATAAACTGCCAAAACGGAAAATAAATGCTATGGGGTGATCTAAAGAGGAAAGATCACTGGCCTCGAGCATCCAAAAGGGTTACAGTAGAATCAGTAGAAGGATCTTCCTCTAAGATAAGCGTGGAGGGCCTGTGAAAAGGATCATTCTCAGAGCCAACGCACATTGTTCGAAAAAGTGATTTTTAACCATCACAGAGTATTCCATCTCATGAATAACCACAGTTTATTAAACTCTCCCTATACATTTTGTGCATTTATGAGGTTGATAATTTTGGTTCTTATAAATAACACCAACAACAAAAGTCTCTGTAAATACATTTTTGCCTGCGTCTGATCTTTCTTTGAAGACAGATTCCTAGAGATGGAGTTAGTGGGCTGAAGGGTGATGATTTGAAAATATTCTTGATGCTTGTTGCCAAATAGGCTGCTGAAAACACTGCCAATCCACATGTTGTCCAGCAGCATGTAGAAGGCCCATCCCGCCATTCAGCTTGCAATGGATGGAATGAGAAGAGGACATAGAGCTGTCTATGTTGTAGGATCTTCTTTTTGTTTTTAAAGATTTATTTATTTATGTTAGACTGGGGAGGGGCAAAGGGAGAGGAAGAGAAAGAGCCTTAAACAGACTCCCTGCTGAGCACGGAGCCTGTGTGATCTCAAGACCTTGAGATCATGACCTGAGCCAAAATCAAGAGTCAAGACTCTCTCTCTCTCTCTCTCTCTCTTTTTTTTTTAAGACTCTATCTATTTATTTGACATATAGAGAGAGAGAGCACAAGCAAGGGGGGAGGTAGTGAGAGAAACAGGCTCCCCACAGGGACCCTGGGATCATGACCTGAGCCAAAGGCAGACACTCAACCACTGAGCCACCCAGGCATCCCAAGAGTCAGACTCTTAACCAACTGATTCACTCAGGCACCCCCGTATGACTTGGTTTATTTATTTGAGAGAGAGAGAGAGAGAGAGTAGAGTTGGGGAAGAGGGTAGAGGGAGAGGAGAGAGAGAATCCCAAGCAGACTCCTCACTGATCAAGGAGCCATCTTGGGGCTGGATCATGACCCTGAGGTCATGACCTAAACAGAAATGAAGGGTTGGTCACCGAGCCAACTGAGCCACCCAGGCGCCCCCGATCTTATTTTATTTTATTATTATTATTTTTTAAGATTTTATTTATTTATTTATCAAAGGCACACAGAGAAAGGCAGAGACGCAGGCAGAGGGAGAAGCAGGCTCCTGCAGGGAGCCCGACGTGGGACTGGATCCCGGGACTTCAGGATCATGTCCTGGGCCAAAGGCAGGCGCTAAACCGCTGAGCCACCCAGGGATCCCTGGGTTACATAGTTCTTGAAAAAAAAAATAAAATAAAATAAATTCTTTTTTCTTTTTTTTTTTTAAGGTTGTAAAAGCAACCCGGCAGGAAGAGCACTGTGCTCAGGCCAGGAAACTGCTGTCCCAGGTGCCCTGCTGACAGTGGCATCTCTGAAACAGCCACTGGGGGGTTCTCAGCAAGGGGCTCCCTCAATTACCAGGGCACCTCAACCTCCTTCCCCAGAGTCCTACCCGAGACCAAGCAAATCTGCATGAGCTGGGGTGGGACTTGGCCGTGGGTTTTGGGAACAAATGACCCACGAACCCTCATGTGAGACTCAGGAACGAACACCCCTGAACTAAAGGACCAAAGGAAGGTCTTCCAGGCCATGCTGGAGACTTCAGCCCCGCCGGGCTGGGGCCATCTCGGGGGCCAGGAGGTGCCGTGCCGAGCACACCTTTACCTATGTACCTGCCGTGCCTCAGCTGCAGGTGGAGGGTGGGCTCGATTCGTATCCACCAACGTTGGCAGACAGTGAGTCAGACCCAAACAAAATCGCATCTCTGGCCAGGGCAGCCAGGCCCTCTCATTCCTCCAGCCGGAGAGCTTGGGTGGGTAAAGCCAGGCCGGGACAGGTGGCCTTGGCCCTCCCTTCCTGTGTTAGGGAAGCCACCTGGTGGTCTCCCTTTTTGGGGTTTTGTGGTTGAGGAGAGAGGTGGAGGTGGGGTAAGGGAGAGGTAGGCCCGGCCGGTGACCTCCTGCTTCCTCCGGGCTGACGGGGAGCTGCCACTGTTCGCTGGCCGGGCTCCCAGCCGCCTCTGAGCCTGGAGATGAGGGCCATTTAATCCCTTGCTCCTCTCTGGTTATTTCTGCGGGGAAGGGGGCTGGGCCTGCCGCTGGTTCCCTCAGCAACGGGGCCTGGCCCTGCTCCATTGTGAGGAGGGCCCCAGCTGGGAAAATCCGTGGGGGAAGGAAGGGAGGAGCCCGGTCTTTCTAGGGCCTTCCCTTCTCTGACTTGGTGGAAGCTGTGGACACCCTGAAGCCCTCGGTTCCAGAAGGGAAGGGGAAGGCTTTAGGGTCCTGGGTCCCTGCCCAGGTGGAGACGGCCAGAGATGGGCCTGCGGGTAGGACAGAGCCACGGTTGAGGGTTGAAAAGGAGGGCGCAGCCGGGCAACATGCTGGGAGGAGGGGTGTTGGAAGGAGTCCTGGGGCAGGGACCTTCCCCTTCACGAAGGGGAGGAAGAGGCCAGGCCGCCTGGGCGACCCTGCTCGGGGGCTGGTCCCAGCCTGACCCCTGCATCCGCACGCTTGGCATCTTCCGACCAGACCAAGTATTCCTTTTAGCATTTCTATTCCCAGAACTTCCTAAAGGCTCATCTCTGAAGCGTCCTCCGCCGAGGGGACCTCGGCCCCCACCCTCCCACCGCTCGCTCTTCCCTGGGTTCTTCGCCACCGTGGCCTCCTCCCCACCGTGGCCTCCTCTCCACCGTGGCCTCCTCTCCAACGTGGCCTCCTTCCCACCGTGGCCTCCTCTCCGCGAGCCTCATCCAACTCCGCTGCAGCGCCTGCCTCGCCCGCACTCCTTGTTCCCACACTCACGCACACACGCAGAGCAAAAGCACATGAAAATCTCCCGTCCCTTTTTCCAGGCCCACTTTTGTGTGAGGATAATAAGGGCTTCGGCAGCCTCAAGAGGGGTCAGAAAACTGGCGCGGCCTAGAGCCGCCGGTGCAGTTTGGGGGCTCCCCGGATGCAACCCCAAGAAGGGGTCAGGGCCGCAGGGTTTCAGTCCCCTCGGTCCTTAGACGTGGGAGCTTCCAGATGTAAAACCGCAGCCACTCTGAATGGTCCCAGGCCACACCCGAGGGTCAGATGTGACCCGTGTGGTTTAACGACGTCCCTTAAAAATAAGTGTCTCCTGGAGGGAGACCCCTCCGTGTGTGTGAGTGTGTGTGAGTGTGAGTGAGTAATGCCCCTCACGCCGGCTCCTGAGGGACTGTGGTTTCCACCTGGAAAGCGGTGCCGTGGGAAGGGTCATGTTAAGGACCCCAGAGACTCTGCCACCAGCTTCCTGGGGTGTCTCTTCATCGTAGGCGGCCTCCCCAGCCCAGAGCAAGGGGAAGAATGGGGCCGTGCGCCTGACTCCCAGCCCTCCCAAGGCCGGGCCCCCCCAAACCACACAGACGACAAGGTCCCAGGTCATTTCCCCCCTGCCACCAGCTTTGCTCGGACAATTCAGCATCCTGTGCCGCCCCTCCTCGCTTAGGCTCCTCTCTCCACGTCTGAACATGCGGTCGCTGCGAGGATCAAGAAAATTGGCGTGTGTTGAGCAGGGAGCCCGGGGCCTGGTGCACAGGCGGCATACTTGCCCACACGTGGGCACGGTAGTATGGTCTTTGGCCTTTTGGCCTTGGGAGTGTGCCTAGGTTATCGCCACCGCTGGCAATGAGCTAGTGCACGGGCCCATCCATCCCAGCTCACAGGCCTAGAGATGGACGCCCAGGCGGTTTCCATAACCTGGCCACCCAGCCGCCTGGACGGTGGCCTCTGGATCTGGGCTCAAGTGCTCAGCAACCCCGGGGGTGGGGGGGTGGCGGGGGGGCTGCTTTCCAAAGCAGCCACCGCCTCTCCTGCATCAGCCAGTTTTATAAATGGCTTGCCTTACCTGAGTCCTTGGAGGTTTGTCCTGGGGAGACGGGTCCATTATGTCGATGCATTTGGAATCGGCGGGAGGCAGGCCTTGGCGGGTGGCTTTTAGTGCCGAGTAAGCAGGTGGAGAGAGAACAAGATCAATGCGATGCAGAGGATGTTTTTGAGGCTCCCTCCTGGGGGCTGTGGCCCTGCCTGTGCTCCCAGGTCTCGGAGGAGCCCGGGGTTTTAAGGCCTCCGAGGAGAACAGCTTCACACAAAGACGGGGCAGGTGGGTTTTCCCATGCTGGTGTGATTTTAGGGGAAGAGGACCGTTCCCCATGGGCGTATTCTCTAGATCTAGAGTGTGTGAGACAAAATGCCCCCGAAGAGAGACATTAAATCACTCTTCTGAGGTCTTGTTCTGTCTAGAGTCCTTTTTAGAAACAAGTAAGCCTACACTATGCAGCAGATGATGGGCCAACTTCCCGGAAGGCAGCAAAGCATTGCCCGTCCAGGCCTGGGGAGGAACGGGGACCAGGATGGGGGAGTCGGGGTGGGGGGTGTGGTATGAGGACCTCAGTGTTCTTCCCAAGGCATCTGGGGGAAATACCTTTGATGTGATGACGTCTGTGTTGGGATCTCTGCTGGGCTGTCCTGCTCCTCTCTGCTGATTTTTGACCAAGAACAGAAAAGAAGGAGGGCAGAGGGGGTGTGGGTGAAAGGAGGAGGACGAGGGCGCATCTGCCTAGCTGAGCGAAGCGGTCTCTCACCCAGCACACGTGTGTGCACGGGTCCACACTTGCACACACACGCGCCCCCGCCACCCGCAGCAGTTTTGGAGAATCACAGTGCCACCTGGTGGCTCTCCACGTGCAGAGACTCCCCGGAGCCCTGACTGCAGAGCCCGCAGCTGCACTGTCCCCTACTTGCTCCCTGCGGTTTCCCGCAGCAGACAGTCCCTCCTCACCCTCCTGCCTTGTTCTCAGGAAGGGAGCCAAGCCATGCACGTGCTTCTGAGAAGCGCTTTCCAGCGTCCCCGGCGGTGCTCTGGGCAAGAGAGACAGTACTCAGAAGAGGGCCTCCCCGCAGAACTCGAGTGCTTGGGGTCTGAAAACCCTGGCCTTGTGCTTATTTGGGAAGGAAGCAACAGGCCTGAGGAGCAGAGCTATGTGAAGCTGAGTCTTTTTTTTTTTTTTTTAAGATTTTATTTATTCATTAGAGACAAAGAGAGAGAGAGAGAGAGAGAAGCAGAGACACAGGCAGAGGGAGAAGCAGGCTCCATGCAGGGAGCCCCACGTGGGATTCGATCCAGGATCTCCAGGATCAGGCCCTGGGCTGAAAGGTGGCACCAAACCGCTGAGCCACCCGGGCTGCCCTGAGTCTTTTTTTTTTTTTTTAAATATTTTGTTTATTCATGAGAAACAGAAACACAGGCAGAGGGAGAAGCAGGCTCCACGCAGGGAGCCCGATGCAGGACTCGATCCCGGGACCCCAGGATCATGCCCTGGGCCAAAGGCAGGTGCTAAACCACCGAGCCACCCAGGGATCTCCTGGAAGCCCAGTCCTGATCGCAGCAGACCCCAGCCCATGTCCGACAGACACTGCATTTTTAAACCTCTGTAAATTACTGGAAGAGCAGAGAAGCCTTAGTACCAGCGGACTCCATTTCTGCTTTTCTGACTCAAGCCTTGGTCCCTCCAGTAATGGCTCATCCCACTTTGCTATAATTATAAGAAACGCCACCCATTTGCAACATCGAGTTTCCACCCTGTGCCAGGTACTGTGCAGGGGGGGCCCTTCCCATGGCTGGTGACTGTCAGGGCAGAAGTGAGCACACCCCCGGGGCTTTGTTTTCCTCCCAGGAACTCCTGTGATCTTTACATCCCTAAGTCAACTAGATCGTCAGGTTGATGAGAAGCTCCCTGCCTGGTACCTCCTGAGTGCCTGTGACTACCGTTGTGAGTGGACCAAGTAGGCACAGAACTATGTGCGTGTGTGCGACTAATTTCTATGACTAGGGAGCAATGCGGATTTTTCAGTGCTTTGGAATATTATTGCTTTTTTATTTTTAAAAGACTATTTATTTCAGAGAGAGAGAGCACGAGCAAGGGTGAGGGTAGAGGGAGAAGGACAAGCAGGCTTCCCACTGAGCAGAGAGCCCTACAGGGAGCTCCATCCCAGGACCCTGGGATCATGACCCAAGGCAAACGCTTAACAGACTGAGCCACCCAGGCGCCCCTGCTTTGGGATTTTAAAGGGACTCATTACAAGGATTACGACTTGCGAGATTTTTTATTTATGTAGGAGTCCGAGGAGTTCTTTCCAAATATTAACTCATGGATCCTTGCAAAATCCCCTGGAAGTGCCTGGCCATAAAGGGAACACCACCAGCGAATCATTAATCTGAGTACCAAGGTGGTAGAGTCAGGACAAGGAACAAGCAGTTCTTCAAACGTCCTCCCTCCGAAGCCTGGAGCAGTAAAACTCCCTGGTAAACAACCTGGTTTTGCATTGTGCCTGCTAGGAAGGGAGACTCCTTGTTTGGCTCGAGGCAGGGAAAGAATAGAGCTCTGAGAAATAATTCTGGATTAGTCTGCAAGCAGGACCACAGAGAGGAGACAGAGGGCTCACATCACCCCTTCTCCTTTCCAACTTATGAATACAGGTGAAATTGGGCTAAAATGAGTATTAAGAGACCTTCAAGGGGGAGGATCCAGATAGGAGTGCTCATAGGGACAGAGCGCCTGCAGGGAGTGGTGGAGGGAGAACCCATTTCCTTGCCTTTTTAGGTCCTACTGAATGCCTGGGTTCCTTGGCCTATCACCGCTTAATCTATTTATCTTTCTTCTTTCTTTCTTTCTTTCTTTCTTTCTTTCTTTCTTTCTTTCTTTCTTTCTTTCTTTCTTTCTTTCTTCTTTCTTTTTCTCTTTCTTTCTTTCTCTTTCTAGATTTTATTTATTTATTTGAAAGACAGAGCCAGCACGAGTTGAAGGGAAAGGTCAGAGGGAGAGGGAAATCAGGCTTGCCGCTGAGCAGGGAGCCTGATGCAGGGCTCCATCCCAGGACCTTGGGATCATGACCTGAGCCAAAGGCAGATGCTTAACCAACTGAGCCACCCAAGTGCCTCCCTTCCTCCATCTTTAAAGAGCATCCCCCCAAGCTCTGCCTCTGTCAGCCATCACCTTCTTTCATCTCCAGCTCTCCCCTTGTAAGGATCCTTGTGGTGGCACTAGCCCACCCAGAAAACGCAGGACAATCTCCCCATCTTAAGATTGCTAGTTGGATTTGCAAAATCCCTTTTGCCATACAAGATCCCATTCCCAGGTTCTGGGGATTAGGATGTGGACGGACTTTGGAGGCTGTTATTCTTCCTCCCATGCTGGGAAATCAGGGCAGAGAGACTGAATGGCATTGCAGGGAGGGATTCCTGTAATGTGGAAATCTCTCCGTAACACCAGTCTCTCTAAGGCCAAGGACCATGGGATGCCTCATCCATGAGCTGCCTGCCAGAGTTCTGAAATGTGCCAAGGTGAGCTGTGCTTCTTGACATGCCTCCCACGTTGGGCACAAGAGAGGTCATTCCTGGGACTCTCCTGGGCGAGGGGAGCTGAGACAGTCGTGCAGCTCAAGCTTCTTCCTCCAGAAAGCGAAGGAAGTCATTTAAAGTTCAGTTACCAGCTGGGCAGACCCAACTCGGGTTGCTGGGGAGATGCCCTTGGCCACAGCAGCGACAGGGAATGGAAAACAGGTTTCATAACAACCAAGCCTCATCCAGTTCTTTTGGAGCATCTCTGAGGAGGCTGTTTCTGGCTTTGAGTCGGGGAGAGGAACCCTGATGGAAACCATAAACACCACGTGTAAGCGTTTCCTTCTGCTCTCCCAGAGAACCACGTTCAAAGTAAGAGTTCTCATCTGCTGAGATGTGTCCCAGCTCATGCGTCCTAGGACCTCCAGGATGGTCCTGGCCACCCACCGTCCTACTGTCAGATCTTGTAGTGGATTCTAGGACGTGATCTGAGCTCCTGGGCGTCTCGGAGTCCCCTGCCCTGTCGCAGGCACCGCTGCCCACGCAGCCCCTGAGTGCTCCAGACTTCCTGCTGCCCTTCGCTCCTGGTTCTGTGGCTTGGATGTCCCCAGGGGGGACACTCTCTACAAACCAGGGTTCTGGGGTCAGCATCGAGGAGGTTACAACGATCATCACTCCCTCGGACCCACGGGTCAATTCCCCTCTAGCCTTGCTTCCCCGCCACCCTCCCCCTCTGGAGAGGCTCCCTCCATCCACAGAGCTTGGGAGAGCCCCACCTTTGCGATAAGCATACCTTCCCTCTTCAAAGCTCTTATCTTTCACACAGCTCTTTCAGTCCTTTGAACAGGAAGAAAAAAAATTTTTTTTTAAGATTTTATTTATTTATTCATGAGACACACAGAGAGAGGCAGAGACACAGGCAGAGGGAGAAGCAGGCTCCCTGTGGGGAGCCTGATGCGGGCCTCGATCCCAGGACCCCGGGATCATGACTTAAGCCCAAGGCAGATGCTCAACCGCTGAGCCACCCAGGTGCCCCTAGGAAGAAAAATCTTAATGAGGACTGTGTCAAACAGGAATTGGTTAGGATGCAAAGCCAAGAAACGTGAGTTATGCCAGGTGAGACAGGGCAGGGCTCTCAGCACTGGTGACATTTGGCCCCAGCTGGTTCTTTGTGGTAGAGGCAGTCCTGGACGTTGCAGAAGGTTTGGCGACACCCTCGGCTTCTAACCACCAGATCAGCTCTTCATACCAGGGGGTGCTTTTGCCCTCCCCGAGGACACTGGGCAAAATCTGGAGATGTTTCTGGTGGCCAGGCTGGGGATGGGGGTGGGGGGTGATGCGACTGGTATCTCATGGCCCCGAGGGCATATCCCACAACTCATAGGACAGCTCCTCACAACAACGAATTATCTGGCCCCCAATTTCAATAGGGCCATGATTGGGAAACCCTGGTTTAAAGAAATCAAAGTGGACATTTATAGTTGGTCCAACAGGATGGGATGAGAAAGTCCCAAGAGAATGACATTCCCCCACCCCCAACAGAATGCTTATCTGATTCTGTCTGCTGAGAGAGCCGGAAATAGTCCGTCTTAGCTGGTAATCACTGGGATGGGGGTCCTCACCGGGGGACCCCCTGGCCAGATGCACGGAGGGACCGGGGATGCACGAGCTCCGACAGCGCAGGTGGCGCGAGCACAGGTGACGCGAGCACAGGCGCCGCGCTCGAAAACCAGCACCTGTGGGACTGGGTGCGGCCAGGGCCACACGGACAGCAGGCGGGGCTGTCTCCGCCCTCCTGGCATTTTTTGTCATTTGGATTTGCTTTTTGCTGTGTTAGCATCCCATTTCTGTTGAAACCCTTACTTTTTAAAAAGAATTATTTATTTGGGAGGCAGAGTGAGTGAGCGAGAAAATAGGAGCAGGGACCAAGGGAGAGGGAGAAGCCGACCCCCCTCCAAGTCCCCCACTGAACAGGAAGCCCAACGTGGGGCTCGATCCCAGACCCTGATATCATGATCTGAGTTGAAGGTAAACCCTTAACCCACTGAGCCACCCAGGCGCCCCTCTGCTGAAACCCTTAAATCTCAAGTACATTGGGGACACCGCGCTCCTGCGCCCGCCGCCAGCGGGCCTCCTTTATAAAACACAATGAACAGTGACAAAGGGAAGCGCGGTGGCTGCAGACGGTCC